TGTGTAAGAGGATACATGGGTGGATGAAAGAATCAACTCTCCTAACAGAGGGTCTTGATCAACGACAGTTCACTGCACAGAAASTCACAGCCCTTTAGGACCAACAAGTCAAAGCGAGTCTTTAACCCAGAAACTCATTATATAAATATAATTAATTTACCTTTGAGCTTCTTCCCATGTAATTCTGTGCAAACCAATCTGAATCCATGGCCTTCATGTTTGCCAGAATTTGTCCCTAATGAAATTGAAAAAAAAAATGCTCAGTTTACCGGAGAATTCTCCTATCTCCTACCCTTAATGAAAATCCTGGAAAAAAGAAAGAAATTGTCACTTACAGCAAAAGCTTCATGGTATTCAAATATGTCAATGTCACTCATTTTCAATCCAGCCTTTTCTAGAGCTTTAGGGGTCGCATAAGCTGGTCTGTAGAAACAGAAAATAAATATGATAATAAGTGTGTGTGAGATGGATAAACACTTCCATGAAGACATTAAAGAAATACTCARCTTATTTACATGTAAATTGCCATATGGAAATATAGTGACAGCATTTAACCCATGAAATAAAAAATACTAGTCAAATAGACACAAAAGAAAACAATGAAATTAGGGTCTACTAATGTGTTCTATTAGTCTAATACCTATTTCAAGGGTTCAGTGACCTCACTCTAAGGACTTTCCTTTGAGCAAAGTAAGTAGAGAAAATGGACATTATAGGAACAACCTTTCTATTATTCATGACTTACCCCAGGAGTAGCTGGTCCTTAGGGTCTTGTGACACATATACAAATTCCCTACGAAGAAAGTTTTTAAAGTTATAAATGAATTACTACAAGTAAAATAAAAGAGTTTTTCTGAGAACTCTGGTTTTTCTCCTTTACAAACGTCAATACTTTTTAAAAAGTTTTAATTAAGGGAGACTGGCAGAGCTGACAGGAAACAAGAATCATTGTTTATCATAGCTTTGMAAGCTTCAATTGTTAGTGTCTGTGAGGTACAACCGAACAAATTAAACGATAACCCTTACTTCACATCAGYCTCTGCATGTTATTTTGTTCAGACTAAACAGGGCCTTAGCCACCACTTTTTACCTTCAGAACCATTTTTCCCCCTTGTAAAAATATATTTATTGTGTAGTTCTAAAAATTATCCATACCCCCCTCACAGAGGAATTTTTTTAAGACACCTCCCTACCCCCTGGAAATTCCAATTTTCTTCCATACAAACTCTGTAATTTTTGTTCTTTCTCTGACCCCCCTACTCTTCGGAAGTTCCAAATTCCTCTGTGGGGTGGGTATGGATGATTTCTGGAACTACACATTACGCAAGTAAATAAAAGAATAGGAACACCGTTTTTCAAACTGGACCACTGTCCATTCAAGTGGTTGCTATGGCCTAGCTAAATTAAATAAATAAATAAAAAACGACTCAGTTGCGTTATTGCTAAACCCAGTATTTAGGATAACACTCACCTTAAGTAAGCCTTTGGCTTTAGTCCCATACTGAGAGCTTTGTCTTCACTCATTATTATACAYGCTGATGCTCCATCAGTCTATTAGGATAGGATTATGATTAGTATCAGGCATTCATTGCTGTTTAATATCCTCGCAACATGAAAAATTGTTTAAAATAAACTTTTAAACTAACCAAGAAGGACGAGTTGGCTGCTGTGATGGTTCCATATGGCTTGACAAATGCAGGTTTAAGTTTAGCCATCTGCTGTTTGGTTGACACTCGGATACCATTATCACCTGTTAAGACATTAGTTGTGCCTGGGACTTGGTATGCAAGCACATCTGTCAACTTGCCTGCCTGTAGGGTTTACAAAGATGACAATCTCTTACTATGGATGTCACCGATCTGGGTGACACCAGAAAAACATACCTCGTTCATGCTTCCAAACGTCTATGACTCTGCCAACAAACATTAACCTTTTAGTCTGCATTCCTCTCTTGATGTTGCATCCTTTTGATATATTTCTTTCCCACAAATTATCAAAATGTGGAGAAAGTCAATGCAGACTAAAAGGTTGTTGTTTGTCAGCGGAGTCATCAAATCAATCAATCACTTTATTAATGTGTTGTTCTACTAGCTTGCCACAAATGAGCATACTAATCGGGGACACGCAAGCATTTGGAGGCATGACCGTGGCATGTTTTTCTGGTGTGAAAACCCAGACCAGTGACATCTGTAGAAAGATAATCAATAACTTAATTGTATTAAAATCTAATTCCAGTATATTACTCTGATTTAACATGAGCATCGGAACAAGGTGGCTGCATTCAACATTTTATTTGACTGTACAATTCTTGATTCACACATTGATTTAATGTTTTTACAATTTTATGTTAGCCTGCAGAGCAGGCGTTCTTGTGGATTTGGGGAAAAAACCGGGGTGTTGGGGGAACTTTGGAAAATTGGAATGAGCGAGAATTGAAACTGAGCAAAAAGGAAGCGAAGGGGGAGGGGGCAGTCCCATTTTTCTCGCGGGCCCTTGGTCGAAACAAGAACCCCAAAACCCTGATTCTTCCTCTCAAACGCATCAAAAGAACGCCTGCTCTGCAGGCTAATTTCATGTAGGACTCCACTTCCCAGACATTAGTAATAGATAAATCACTTGTCTGGTGGGAAGTGTTTTCCATATACTATCCCTCTCATAAATGCCCTCTGGTGACTATTRACAACCCAGAAGGAGCAAGGAAAAGAGAGGTTCCTACTACTAACCTAAAAAAGCTAATTCCAACATTTTAATACAAAACCAAGCCTACAATTTTATTCTACCAATCTTTAAATGTTATTGGACACTGAAAGAACTTCTTGTCTAATCTAAGATGGTACACATTTGATTTTGAATTTAGCTTGTTAATTTTTGTGGAAAGAGGGAAATTTAGAACCTGAAGAAAACCCCCATGACCAAAATCTATTCATAAGTGACATCCAAAAGAATCWGACTATTTGTYTCTCGGGTGCTACACTTTACCTCGSTTGCTTGATGAGCCAGGGTGTGCGATCTCAATGCATAATCATCCTGTAGAACAGGGGAGAAATATCATGAGTGTGGTCGTAAAGTATCTATAATGGTTGTGAMAAACAGAAACAGCAGTAAAGATTGATCACAATTTAATTCAATTTTCTTACTTGTTCTACTCTGGACACATGAAAAGCCGACGCAAGTCTACAAAAAAAATCATTTCATTAGGTATCATTTCTCTGTTTAATGGTTGCACATGGAAAGACACATGAATATGGCCAAAGACAACTCCAAACAAAGAATATAATTTTCAAGAGAATGACACATGGTCTGAAATGGGGGAACCTTACCCCCCCTCCCCCCCTTCCTCAAGGTAAAGAGGTCTATTCTTGGGTAGTTATGGCATAACTGCAATCTTAATAGGAAATAACTTATCACCTGTCAGCACTGTGTCCCATAGTTTCATTAGTTGAGAATTCAGCCACTGCAGGGAGCTGTGAAAAAGGGAAAAGATAAAATCAAACTAGACATGAAAACAGACAAACGGGAAAAGAAAAGAAAAGAAGTGGAAAGGATGAGTGCCCCTTTAGCAAATGATTGGTTTTTCAACTCAACATTATCATCACTTCTCCCACGTGGCACTTTATAGGCCCAAATAAAGTTCCAATAGAGGCTTTGCACCATCACATGATAGCAGCCATGACAGAAGGTACAACAATAGAGTCACTATCCCCTGGAAAACTGAATTCTTTCTCATGTAAATCAGATTAGACCAGATTCAATTGTTCCTGCCTCGTGTCATCACGTGATGGTGCAAAGCCTCTATAGGCACTCAAGGTTCATTTTGTTCATCATCATCTTTTGGGCCTCTTGTTGGTCCACAAAAAGAAGATATTACACCTTTCTCTATATCTTGTTAGATGTGTGTGTATACATGTATGTGTGAATGTGTGCAATCCTCACCTCTGGTGCCAGAAAACTTGGTCTTATACGAGATAATAGACTTAGTCTTGCACCAAGTGTTTTGGCCTAAGAGGAAAAGCAAAAATTAGCTAGTATACAATTACTTAACATAATTGACTCCAACATAATTGCAAGCGAAATTAGTGATTTACTCACTGGTATCACGTCAAAAATACTAGGATATTTCTGAATTTTGCACACATAGTAGCTCAAACATTTAGGCTTTTAAGGGCATATTTAAAATTTTATTTTTCAGTCATTCTTGCCAATTTTCATGAAACTTCAGATCCTTGGTAAAA